TTTTTTAAAAGAAGAGTTTCAGTCAGCGCCGTAATCGGGAATTTTATTTCGTGAATGTCATTGTCATCATATTTCCTTCATCTTCTCCTTAAAAACGGGAAGAATGAGTTTTGGTGGTTGGAGTCGGAGTGGGGGCAGAAAATTTGATAGAATGTGTTGTCATCTGAAACGAGTCTGTGTGCCAAGTTTCATCTCGATAAGTTGACGGAAAGTGGGTCAATTAGCCGTGCCAAGACTTTGTCCTAAACAAACAAAATCAAAGTTAATTTTTATTCATAAAGGATTTAAAAAGAAAAGGTTGATCTTGGCCATTATTTTATGACATTACAATTTTTCTTATATTTTGTCTTAGTCTTAGTCATGTTTCCCCACACACTGTTTTAGAGCAGTTCAACTGAGCAGTTTTCCGAGATTCTTTCTGAATATCCCCCAAGTCCATTCTCGGGTCCCTCTTGCTTCACATTGTCCTCTCCTGGCGTACAGTTTTTCTCAGTGTTGCAGTTAAACGTTATCATTTACGTGTGGCATAGAGACGGAAGTGACCTGCCAAAATTCTTTCTGCAAACAGCAACAGCCACCAGGGTCCAGGGTGCTTGTTTTGGCATCTCCACGAGGACTTTTCAAATTTGACGTGATCGCAAAAAAATTTGCATTTTAAAAAAAAAACAATTTTAGTTGAATAAATTGTTTATCTTGTCAATTTGTGTGTGTCCTTCTATGTTTCTTGGCTTTTGATCTATGGGCCATTAGCTTAATTATTTTTTTTTACTTGTGTGTGTGTGTGGGAGGAGGGTTGGTTTAGGTGGAGGGTTCGAAAATAGGTTAATGCCCATAACTGTTTTAAGAGTCTGGAGATTTACTATTATTATTATTTAAGATTAAAGGTAATCATTCTTAAAATTTATTTAGAAATCTAATTGATATGAATATATTATATAGTTATTTCTTTTTAAATTCAAAACCAGTCAACCATCACAGCATTAAATGTTGAGGAAATTGTGAATCAAACAAGACAAACAATCCTGGAGCTGGACGTGAGGAGGTTTATACCCGAAGATGTCCGATACATCGCAGACATTTTCCAGAAGTCCAATGACATCGGCGCTACGACCTCGGCCACCGTTCAGGGGATGCTGGACGTTGCAGCTTTCCTGAGGAACTTCCCGGATCATGTCTTAGCAGAGTCTCAGAGATTAGGGAATGCGACCAACAGGTTTGTCCTCAGATGTTAAGCATTTGTCTATGGAACAATACATTATTTATAAATACATTAATTTGCTGAATTTATTATTCATCTATGTCTATAGTCTACCCTTTAAATTCTCAACATAAAATGCTGGGATTTACATACGAGCCTTTATAAATTCAACAGAGTTAAAGTTTTTCTCCAATGCTCAAGAGACCCATTAAAAATGTCACTAACTTTTTTTTTTTGATTCATAGTTACGTTTAAAACAAAAAAAGATAACGTTAATCTGGCTTTAATCTCCCTACATGCGTTTGTTTGATTTGCATCAAGAGAAATTTGACTTGCAATCTAAAGTGGACTGCAATCATATTTAATGATCCCATTGTTCCTCCGTCAAATTTTAGAATTTTAAAGAGCCTGGATCAATTAGGGCGTCAGGTTGACCTTGGGCCTGAACAAAATAATCAGCGAATAACTTCCGGTGGAGTCGGCCTGGAAGTTTGGGACCTAAGGCGCAATGATGACACACACCTTGCTGTTGGAATTAAGGTATGCTTTGAACAAATATAATTTTAACTATGATCAGCGTTTGGATAAATTCTCTCTATTTTTTTTTACACAATGAATGGTTAAGTTTTTTCGGGTAAAGTAGTTCCCCAATCTGAAAAAAGATCAAACCACCAACCCCGCCCCATTTAAATTATTTGTTTTCTTTTCCAGATCTTGTCTGGTGATGACACAGAGGTTCTCACTTCAGAAAGCCTCAAAACACTTTTCAAAAAGGATGAGGTTGACTATGATCAGGCTGATGTTGCCATTCTGTTACCGAATGATTACATCAAAGTTGGTCAAAACATTTTATTTTAGAGACTATTTGTTTTTTAAACAGGCTTTATTTTTTTTTTTTTATCAAAATGAGTTTAAACGCTTATTGTAGTAAAAAAATAAATATTGGAAAATTTATTTTGTAAATAATATTGGGCCAATGTATTGATTTTTGAAGAATCGAGTTATTTTTTTTACTGGCGTAGGAAGAGCGGACGTAGGGGCTGTTCCACCCCAGGTGTAACTTTTTTTAAGGGGTGGGGATGGCATCTTTGATTCACTGCATATAAATGTGCCTTATGTTTTGTATGTCTTGTAGTTTAGGCTAAACTGAGAGGTGGCATAGTTTTGTGTGAGTGAGAGGTGACACAGTTTTGTGAGAGTGAGAGGTGACACAGTTTTGTGTGTGTAAGGGGTTGGTATAGTTTTGTGTGAGTGAGGGGTGACATAGTTTTGTGTGAGTGAGTCGTGGCCTAGTTTTGTGTGAGTGAGGGTTGAAAGGGTCAACGACTGTCCCAGTTGTAAGAAACTCAAGCTACTTCACTGCTTGAATAGAACATTTTAAAATGAGATTATTGAAGGGCACGCATTATTATTTATAATTAAACTTTGTTGTATTAAAACGTGTGAATTTTTGCAATAGTACTGCTACTTAATCTGCTGTACAAATTTTCAGGCCCTCATGAGTGAATATACTGGCTCTAATATCAGACTGTCCATGAATGTCTACTCTGACACAACACTCTTCAAAAATAGCGTAGTAGTGAGCAACATCAGTAAGCCATCTCTCAACAGCAGAGTCATAGCTGCACAAGTAAGTCAAAATTTATGTATTGTGGTCAGCGGCTGGCATTATTGGTCAAACATTATAAACATTTGCAAAATTTAACCTTTTGTAATTACCTCCCTTCAATAAAAAAAACAAAACATTAGCTGCACAGAGAGGTCCAAAGCTTATTCAGTCTATCACTTTAGCTGCACAGCTTGGGCCAAAGCTTATTCAGTCTATCAATTTAGCTGCACAGCTTGATCCAAAGCTTCAAACTATGTATAAACTTAAATACACATTTGCTTGCGGAATTCCCTGGGAATCATATTTACACTTTTAATTTAAAGAAACATTAACTTTTTATTCTTGTGGAACAGTTCATTACAAAGATTCATGTCTAACTCATATTTTGTACAGCTGTTGTTGGATGGTCAGCCGGTTACCGACCTGGGCCCTAGCACTGTCCAGACCGTGTTTCTGCCAGACAAGAAGGTGCCCACACATCTCAGATCTAATCTGACGACTTGCGCCTTCTGGGACTTTGAGGCCGAGTCGGGTGCCGGTGGCTGGTCAAGCCAGGGGTGTGTGTACAACCAAACCATTGACGGCAGGGATGTTTGTGTTTGTGACCATCTTACAAACTTTGCTGTCCTCATGGTAGGCCGTTTGTTTCATATCAACTTTATATCACCGGTTGGTGTGTCCCTGTTTCTTATCATACAAAATATGTGTATGCACTCATTTATATCAACCCCATATCTTTTACCCCGGGTGGATGGGACTCGTTGATCTTGGGTGGCAACTCGTCTAAGAGAAGGAAACGCCGAATTCAAACCCGGATTTGGAGTCCCGTAGGCGGATAACATTGGCACAATGTCACGTTCCGACAACCCCTGCGATGCAACTGGTGCCAAGCTGTATCATCTGCATGATGTTCCCTTTGGTTTATCCAGCGGCGTGGAGAGAGGCGATTGGCTGTGTAGGAAACCAGCTTATAATCCTAAAAAGAATAATCCCAGGCCTTGTGGATTTTCGTCCTGCAAGGTCTACACCATCGTCACCTCGTGACGGACGGATGCCAGCAAAAATATATGTTACTCACCTTGAACATACAAGGCAAGAGACGCGACTTACTCAAACTTTGTGCATAGTTCAGGACTAGGATTTTTTATTTAGTTAACAAGAATTAATTAATAGTTTACAATATTTTAAAAAGCCTTGTCAATGTGGAACATCAGGATCAAAAAATTCATTTACAGATATATTAAATATCAAAAACTTTCACTGCTTAAACCCATTGTTTGTAACCGTATAGTCCGATCAAATACATTCTAGTATAGTGCTATCAACTATAATCTAGTATGGTGCTATCAAATTTAGTCTAGGTACTTTCAAATGTCATCTTACCTAATCTGTACATATGCTTTGAATGATGTATCGCCGATTTTATTTAATAATTTATTGAAGGAAGGTTACTAAACATGCTTTTTTAATGACGATAACAAAAATAGATTTGACATTTTAAACTTTCTCAGAGTTTCTATGACCAAGAGAGTCTGAACAATGAGAATGAGTTGGCCCTGACCATCATCTCCATTGTGGGACTGAGCCTGTCTATCATAGGACTTTCTTTGTCGATTCTCTCCTTCCTTCTCATCAAGTAAGTCTTCAAACGTCAAAAACCTATCTGGTTTCCAGGGTAGATACATTGCTACACAAGTTTCCTGCCCCCTCCCCACCCACATGATCAGCTTTTGGATAAATTCTCTAGTTTTTCTGTAAAACTGTTTTAAAATTATATTTTAGTGAACCACTCATATTTTAGGATTTCACATCATTGGTAGTGTGTTAACCACTAGTGCTTCAATACTGGGCTAACCGCTAGTGCATCAATACTGTGAAAACCACTGGTGCATCGATGCTGTGATAACAACTAGTTCCTAGTACATCAATACTGTGCTAGCCACCAGTGCATCACTTTGCATCTAATGAAATTGTAGCACTAGAAATATTTTTCAAAAAGTGTTATTTTATCGACTGCTAAAACAATTTGAAACAAACTCCTTTCAATCTTATAATCCATGAGAACATATCAACATAATCCATTAGAACATATCAACATAATCCATTAGAACATATCAACTATCACTTGCATATATTGCCAGACGTGTGAGGCACGGCCGACCTCAGCAGACACTGTTCCAGCTGTGCCTGGCACTCCTCATGTCCTGGGTCGTGTTCCTGGCCGGAGTGACCCAGACATCGTCCCACGCTGGATGCATTGCTGTGGCAGCTCTGCTCCACTACTTGATCCTGTCATCCTTCATGTGGATGTTGATGGAGGGAATCTTGCAGTATCTGCTCTTTGTCAAGGTCATGAACACATACTTCACTCACTACATGTGGAAGACATCCATACCAGCATGGGGTACGTTAGAAATCCATACCAGCTTATTTTTTTTAGACATCCATACCATAATCTTTAAAAATATACTGTTGTTTACTTGATCTGCTCCTGAACGCAGATCAGTTTAAAGTGTACTCTTTAAAATTAATTTATGATTACACGATTACAGTTTTGTGCAATACGTCATTTAACGATTAAAGTTAACACATTTCTTGATCTAACCCCACCAGGTCTACCTGTCATCCCCGTTGCAATTGTTTTGATTATTGATCCTGGTCTTTACAGAGGAGGAAACAAATAGTAGGTTAAACATTAAAAAAAAAAAATATTATTCAAATTGAAAATGTATTCATTTAATTTGCAACTCTCTTGGTGTGGAATGACATGAAGTATTTTTACAATTAAAACGTTTGCACTCTCTATTGCGAACAACATGGAAAAATTTGAAGCATCGAGCCGTATTAGAAACAGGATGCGATGTTTGTTATAACCTATCTGAACTAAAGACATTGGCTGTGTCCCACCTTGTTGGTTTACATATATTATATATTTTTTTAAAGAATTAGGATTAGGGACTTAAGAAATAGTTGAACAAGGTTTGTGGAAGCTTGAAATATAAAGAAAAAAGAAAAGAGCCTTTGGGCTAAGAGTCTTCCTCAACAGACAGGACAAATAAAGGAACAACAAGAAATAGAAAGTAGTTTTAAAAAAAACTTAAGAGCTCGCCAGTAAATGTGCTTGCCTGAAGTTGGGATTTTTTCAAAACCAAGTTTACAGGAATTAAAAGAATTTATTGATCACTGCTGTGACAAATAAGATTTTAACCTACTCAAATATTTTGGAATTATGAAAAATATAAGAAATACGAAAATAAATACAAGGAAATGTATTTTAGGCGTACATATTGAACTTGAAGAGCTTAAAATATTTATCAAATCTATGTCAAACTTTTTTGAATTTGTATTTATGTTTTAATTTTGTGTTTTATTACTCTCATTCTAATCCCCAGCTGTTGGATGTCCCTGCCTGCCTTCTACTACAGCTTTGTTATCCCCGTTGGCCTGATCGTCTTGACCAACATTGTCATTTTCATCATGGTTGTGGTCAGCTTGTGCTGTCGGAAGAACATGACAAAATACTCTTCAAGTAGCCAGAACCAGACTGTCGTCAACATTCGGGCTTCGTTCGTCTGTTTTTGTGTGTTGGGTGAGTGCAGTGAAATGTTTGAACGTCCTGGAGTGCAGTGAAATGTTTGAACGTCCAGGAGTGTAATTTTTGGCTGTGTGTTCCAGAGAGTTGACGTCAAGAGAGGACCTACAAACTGGTTGCCCAGAGTTCAAACCCAGGGACCAGACAAACAGATCCCCCATGCCTAACATAAAATTATTTCCTTCTGTCAGTGGCACCCTTGGGTTTATGTTTAGAATCCAGCCACGGTCACCACTGGAATCCATAATCTCCGACCTAATTAATGGAAATACCTCATCATATAAATAAAAATCATTTTAATTACTTACATCCAGTTCTATTGAAGTAAAAAGGTGTGTGTGTCGGGGGGGGGGGGGTAATGTCATTTTGGTTTGGGGGGGGGGGGGGGAAAAGAAAGCGAGGGGTAGGAGGGGGGGGCTCCATCCCCAAAAAATATTTGTTCAATTTAAAGTCCAGGAATGCATTTTGGTGGGGGGGGATAATGTCATTTTGATTTGGGGGGTGGGGAGAAAAAGAAAGCGAGGGGTATGAGGAGGGGGCTCCATCCACATAAAATATTTGATCAATTTAAAGTCCAGGAATGCATTTTGGCGCATACCTCCTTTAGATTTGTCTCATTCTGCACATAACCAGAGAACAACAGGAGAGTTGCAAGTGAACAGTCAGATGACCCTTGACCTCAGAACCATTGTGTCGAGTAGGGGGGCCCGAGATCTCTCAGGGACTCAAAGTGTTGATGTGGACATTTATTTTAAATATCAAATTTGAACGCATGTAAGCATGTGTCCAAAAATTATTCGTCGTCCCCCCCCCCCCAAGATTTTCTCTGAAAGAAACACGTTTTGGTTAGTAGCTCACACTTTTCTTTTTTACTTACCGTTTCAGGTCTGTCCTGGATCTTTGGCTTCCTGGCCATAGACGACGCCCGCATTGTTTTCCAGTACATATTTTGTATATCTGTGTCACTGCAGGGATTCGTCATCTTTGCCATGATGACTGCACGGGATAAAAATGTCCGCGCCTTTTGGTCGTCCTGGCTTTGCTTTTTCTGTAAACGAGGAGGATACAGCGTTCCGGGTGAGTTTTACCTACCTTCGAATCATGGGCATAGCAAGAGGGGGGGTGGACGAAGGGGAGGTCCGCCCAAGGCATCACTTATTTTGGGGGAGGAATTCGCAGCCCGCTTCATATGTATATTCTGTATACATTGTGGTTTTCGGTTAAATTAGGTTGACGTACTCAAGGAGCATTCCAGGCGTAAAAAAAAAAAAAATTGCTAGCTTCTCCATCCCAAACATTAGTATTTATGATGCTAAAACTAGTTGAGGCTTACAATAATTGCAACGTTAACATGTGATCCCTTATTTACAATGACTGGTATAGAAAGAAAAAATGTTCGCTTAGCAAGTATGAAAGGATGCACCCTCAGCAGATAAGTCCACTGGCCTACAAAGTAGTACAACATAAGGGGTGGTTCTTTAATTATTTTACTGTAAATTTAATAGGTACCAGGCATTCTCAGGGGGGTGTCTGCTCCGTCAACTTATTCCTCACCACAGCCTCGCCAATGCAAAATATTCATAAACTATCTTTTCCCCTGAGATCTGTTAAGCTGTACTGCAGTCGTTAAAGTGTACCGTAGTTGTCAGCCTGTACCATTGTCAACCTGTACCATTTTCGTCAAACTGTACTGTAGTTTTTAGACAGGACTTCAATTGTTAAGATGTACTGTAGTGGTTAAAATTTATCATAAGTGTTATAAACGGTACTGAAGTTGGTAAACTGTAGCATAATTAAGCTGTACTTTAGCTGTTAAACTTTACTGTAGTTGTTAAACTGTTCCGTAGTTGTTAAAATGTACTTTAGTTGTCAACCTGTACCATATTTGTCATTCTGTACCGTAGTTATCAAACTTTACTGGGGCTGTTAAACTGTACTGAGGATGTTACACTGTACTGTGGCTGTTAAACTGTACTGCATTTATTAAGCATTGATTACCTATTGCTTCTATAGGTTTCATTTTGTGATGTAAATATCTACTTTTTAAATTATTTTAAATTCCTCGATAGAAGTACCTTGCCCAAAATCTACTTCAAGTGAACTCCCCAAACTTCCATCAAGTGGGAGTGGCAGCACCAACTCTACAACTGCCAGTGACAGCGCAGAGCTTAAAACACGTACTGGGATCTCAGAGAAATTGGTGTACAGTTAATACGACTTATTCTAGAGTCTTGAAGATAAGATTTTTTTATTTTTATTAATGCTTTAATGCGTACTAAATCTTAGAGAAGTTGCATTTATAATAAAGGTGCTTGCCAGTGGTGTTTATTGTTGGGTTAGGGTTGATGAGAAAGGCTTCGGAGAATAGTATAGTTAAAATGATCAAGATCATCTTGACATCAGGAGACGAGTCATTTTGGGAGCAGATAAGAGTCATTTGGGAAGCAGAACCGGGTCATTTGGGGAGCAGAGCTGAGTTCCACCCATCACTAGAGATACTGTTGTTTTAGATAAGTGAGATAATATTTTTGAAAGATAGAGATGTGTATATTTAATTTTAAAAAATTCCTGTATTGTATGTTATCCCCCTCCTACCCATGCCCACATACACATATACATTCCAATGTAATTAATATTTCAACTAAATCTTGTCATTATAATGTCATACATATTGCAACTGTATATAATTTTAAAAAAAATAGATGTAGCTGTAACACATCTACTCTGACATGGCGTGGGATCTTATTTCTTATGCTGTGGGTTATGTCAGTAGTATGGTAACTTATGTTAATACTTCAGGATGCCGACTAAGACTTCTTCATTCTTCCACTTATTATCCAGGCACGCAAGAAGAATACTCAATTCTGGTTAAAACTTACAGTACTTTATTGAATCACACTTGACACTGATAATAATAATAATCCTTGCATGAATGTAATAATTTCACATGTATATATTATAGTATTCCATCATTCAGAAAGACACGTCCTCACACTACTATAACTCAGCTCAACTGTCTCGTAACTCAGCTCTCACTCTACTGTTCTCTACTGCTCTGCGCTCAGCCCTGACTATATCAGTCAACTCATACTTTATTACCAGCAAAGCATGGAAAACAACCGCTCTGACAAAAACATAATTTTACTCTCCAAAAACGTGGAGCTCACATTTGTTCGCAAAAATACAATCCATTGATTGTCTCTCCTCATGGTAAAACCTGGTCAACACAATTCACTGTTCACTCACGCTACCTCTCTGTTTTCTTGTCTCTGTTTTCTTGTGAAAACATAGTCCGTTACAGTAGCCTTAGAGCGTTGTGGCATTTTTTAAAGCAGCCAGCATCAATCAAAGTGAAGTAAAATAATTGTTTAAAAAGTTGTAAGTGCAACAGGGGCTGTCAAATGACACAACAAAAGTTATCCCGTCGAAAGACACACCAAAAAGATATTACCATCGAAAGGTACACCAAAGCATCTTCTCGCTGATGATAAAATATTTTCTAAAAGGAAAGACTTACACATTTGAAGACGAGTGAATGAACTCTCTGTTCTATAGGAAGACATTCTTATTCCTTCTAAAGGAAGAAATTCCTATCACTTCTAACGGAAGACATTGCTATCACTTCTAGAGGATACATATCTATCACTTCTAGCGGAAGACGTTCCTATCACTTCTAGAGGAAGACATTCCTATCACTTCTAGAGGAAGACATTCCTATCACTTCTAGAGGAAGACATTCCTATCACTTCTAGCGGAAGACATTCCTATCACCTCTAGAGGAAGACATTCCTATCACTTCTAGAGGAAGACATTCCTATCACCTCTAGAGGAAGACATTCCTATCACTTCTAGAGGAAGACATTCCTATCACTTCTAGAGGAAGACGTTCTTATCACTTCAAGGGGAAGACATTCCTATCACTTCTAGAGGAAGACATTCCTATCACTTCTAGCGGAAGACGTTCCTATCACTTCTAGAGGAAGACATTCATATCAATTCTAGAGAAATACGTTCCTATCACTTCTAGAGGAAGACATTCCTATCACTTCTAGAGGAAGACATTCCTATCACCTCTAGAGGAAGACATTCCTATCACTTCTAGAGGAAGACATTCCTATCTCTTCTAGCGGAAGACATTCCTATCACTTCTAGAGGAAGACATTCCTATCACTTCTAGAGGAAGACGTTCTTATCACTTCTAGAGGAAGACATTCATATCAATTCTAGAGAAATACGTTCCTATCACTTCTAGAGGAAGACATTCCTATCACTTCTAGAGGAAGACATTCCTATCACCTCTAGAGGAAGACATTCCTATCACTTCTAGAGGAAGACATTCCTATCACTTCTAGAGGAAGACGTTCTTATCACTTCAAGGGGAAGACATTCCTATCACTTCTAGAGGAAGACATTCCTATCACTTCAAGGGGAAGACATTCCTATCACTTCTAGAGGAAGACATTCCTATCACTTCTAGAGGAAGACGTTCTTATCACTTCAAGGGGAAGACATTCCTATCACTTCTAGAGGAAGACATTCCTATCACTTCTAGCGGAAGACGTTCCTATCACTTCTAGAGGAAGACATTCATATCAATTCTAGAGAAATACGTTCCTATCACTTCTAGAGGAAGACATTCCTATCACTTCTAGAGGAAGACATTCCTATCACCTCTAGAGGAAGACATTCCTATCACTTCTAGAGGAAGACATTCCTATCTCTTCTAGCGGAAGACATTCCTATCACTTCTAGAGGAAGACATTCCTATCACTTCTAGAGGAAGACGTTCTTATCACTTCAAGGGGAAGACATTCCTATCACTTCTAGAGGAAGACATTCCTATCACTTCAAGGGGAAGACATTCCTATCACTTCTAGAGGAAGACATTCCTATCACTTCTAGCGGAAGACGTTCCTATCACTTCTAGAGGAAGACATTCATATCAATTCTAGAGGAAGACATTTATATCAATTCTAGAGGAAGACATTTCCGATTACTTTTAGAGGAAGACATTTCTATCACTTCAAGAGGAAGACATTCCTATCACCTCAGTTTCCGTTTTTATACAAATTAGACTTTCAGTTTCAAACTGAAAAAGATGTCATTGGTGTTACAAAAGTTGAGTTGTGATTGACATGTTCAATTTGAATTAAATCCCCTCCTTTTCCACGCGGCCTGCTCACCTGCAAAGTCTCTCTTTCACAAGAGACGAAACTCCTATTTTTACACCTCCAAGTTTGACCCCAGTCTTCAAAAAAAAAAAAAGAGGGCAAAATATTGCTGAGCTACATGTGGTTTTTAACCACCGATCCATGGTCGCGTATCAGCGCGCAAATATTTCCAGCCGGTCCGCAAAAAAAAACAACAAAAAAACAAAACGTTTTTACCATACAAAAAATGGTCGTGAAGGCGACAGAGGATGGCCGGACCCGACAATTCAGCGTAGTGCTTCATATGTTGTCTTTTAACTGGCAGCCTTATACCAGGTTGTCTTATAACGGGTTGTCTTATCTCTATATCAGGTTGTCTTTTAACAAACTACCTTGCATCTGTTAGAATTTTGTCAGGTTGTATGACATCAGGTGTCATGTTCCCCGCCAAACGACTCAGTCAACATTGTGTCAAGGACTTTGGTGTCATATTTTGTAGACACCGATTGGCTTACATGCCTTGAATCGATGTACTGATAATTTTATATTCTTCTTAAATTTGTTTTTTCCTTTTTACATATGATAATGATTTTTAAAAATTCTTATTTCAAAATCTGAGGGGGAAAAAAACCTTCAGACCAGTTGCCATTGTTTTTTGTTTTTTTTTGTTTTTTTTACAGAATTTCATACAATTTGTATTTTTTTAAAAATTATTGTAAATTAAAAAAAAAAAACAAAAAAAAACAAAAAAACTATAGCATCTATTTTCCGATTCTAAAAAAACCTTCAAATCAGTTGTCATTTTTTTTTTTTTTTTTTTTTTTTTTTTAAAAAATTTCATACAATTTGTATTTTTTTAAAAATTATTATAAATTAAAAAAAAAAAACAAAAAAAAACAAAAAAACTATAGCATCTATTG